GTAAGGGTTTATCGTGATTGGTGCAAGTAAGGGTTTATCGTGATTGGTGCAAGTAAGGGTTTATCGTGATTGGTGCAGGTAAGGGTTTATCGTGATTCTTGCAGGTAGGGGTTTATTGTGATTGGTACAGGTAGGGGGTTATTGTGAATGGAATAACCTCCTAGCTGCATCCACCTATCACCATCTCTCCTACCCTTCCCCCTGCCCCCACCTCCCTCCCTCTATTTATTTCTGTGCTCCCCTCCCCAGTCCTGATGAAGAGTTTCAGCCCAAAACATTGAATTTCCTGCTCCTCTGGTGCTGTCTGACTTGCTGTGCTTTTCCAGCCTCTCACTCAATCACTCTTCACATTGTTAGCTGGAGAAATCAACAGCTTTAATAGTTAAGGACTAGGATGCTCTTAAATTAATAAATGGTCATTATATAAAAGAAAAACAAAGTGGATTTAAGATGCACACAGTATGGATTAGCATTGCCCACCTGTTGGTGCTTCAGTCTGAAAGTTTCTTGCTGGTTGATACACTTCTGAAGTTGACCCCTTTGATGAACCTCTTCCTGACACATCTTATGAATGAACTGTCTCACCTTTTCGATGAAGGTGTGAGCCATGGCTAAATACAGAAGCTGCTGCTCCACTTCCTCCTTATCCACTATGGATTGAAGAACACAGGATAACGTCTTTAACAATAGTGACTGGTAGATAGAACAAAGAGTGAGGAGATAAACAACATGCAAAAAGATTCTCATGCAGAATATTATGGTTAAAGAGCATTGAACAGTACAGCACAGGAACAGGCCGTTTGGCCCATCATGTCTGTGCTGACCATGATGCTATTCTATACTAATCCTATCTGCTAACACATGGTCCATGTCCCTATATTCCAGCGTCTCTGAACCAACCTGGTAACATAATTCTTTCCTGATCTATAGAGATTCAGGCAGCTGGACAAGAGATTCAAGGTTCAGAAGGCTACTGCTCTCTCCTTGAACCGTCTCCAAATTGGGATTTTATGGGGGCTAAGGGAACATGGTTGGAGATTCAGAAGGGGCGGCGGTTTATAATATCAGGTAAGATGGTGAGGCAGTAGTGTGCCTATTACCTTCCCCTGCTGCTACCATTTTGTCAGTGGTTAACAGGCACATTGCCATGTGGAAAAACTGTCAAGTGTACAGATACAGCTTCTTTCTAGTTCTGGGCTGCCCTCTGAATGGGAACCCTATGTGCCACTGAAAGGGGCAAAAGGACAGCGTAGGGTTTCTGATAATCACAAGCATGTACTGATAGTTAGAAGATGTGAACATTTTATGACATTTTATGATGGGCCATTGATCATGTGTATTAGTTTGAATATGATTGGATAATATAATTAACATTCCAGGTTGGGACCCATGACTAGGTGAACACAGTTGGATAGCAATATGGGTGAGTAGATGTGTAACCTTTTGATTTGGAAACTTGTTTTAATAGTATAAAACCATTTCCTTTTGTAGTAAAGTTTGAATTGAATGCCACCTATGATGGGTACACCTCCCATGCATGGATGAATAAACTTTTAAACAAAGAAGTCTGAATCTGGTCTGGTCTAAAGAGAGAATAAATGGTTATACCTGTCCTTTCACCACAAATCCCACTACACCGCATCAGTAACAACCTCCTGCTCTCATAATTAACCTTCCCAATATGGAACCAGCCAGAGTGGCCTGGGCGAGTTCCACAAACTCACTTATTTTTGGGGTCTCCTCCATGCTGGCTGGTCCAGACTGGCTGCAGTTCCATTAGTGGCCATTGCTCGTGGTGGTGCTGCTATGATTGAAGAGCTGATGGCTTTCAGGTTGATCAGATTAGTTAAAAGGGACCACTGCAGGCAATGAGCTGTCTGATCAATGTGAAATCCTGTTGGGGCTTCTACAAGCAGTGGACAATAGTGCTGCCCCGACTTCCTGTGGCACGAAACCTTGGTGCCTTCTCCATGTGTCTTAATGACTAAAACGAGATTTACACTGATGGCGAACTTAAAGTTTCATCAGCACTGTGGGGGCATCACTGACTCTGGAAGCATCGAGAGAATTTGTTTACCTCTGCCCGCTCCTGGAGTGAATCTTTCCCAAATATTAGATAAAGTTGAAATACTGCAGATGCTGGAAATTTGAAATAAAAACAGAAAATGCTGCAGAGACTCTGCAGGTCTCGCAGTGTCTCTGGAAAGTGAAACAGAGTTAATGCTTTGTATCCAACATGAGTCTCATTCAGTAAATTCTGTTTTTATATTGTAATTGGCAGCTCAGCCTCTTACCCAGCCACTGCTGAGAGATCTGCAGGCTTTAGATTTATGGTTCATGCACCATCATCTGTTTGCCTTCATGCAGCCTCACGGATTCTGTCTTATGACAGAAACACAGCAGGGTAAAAGGGTAAACATTGGCATCATGGGAGACAAAAGGCCGGCCAAGTGTAGATGTGGGGACGGAATTAAGAATCTACAGAAAATGTCTCCACGGTTTGGAAATACCTCTAGCTGGGAGACAGAATGAAGGCTTTGTAAGAAAGAACTGATGGAAAGCTGAATGTAGACAGCGGCTGTCACAGGGTTTACCTTGAGAAATCAGGAGCACAATGTCAGTCGGCATCAAGGATGCAAGCTGTGACTCCTGTGTGCATCTGCGTTGGGCTTCACTTTGTGCACAGTCTCGCAATGAGTCAATGATATCGTCAAGGGCTGCCACCTTCTGCTCAACCTTAGGAAACCCAGATAAATAGATTCAGACTTGCTACACACTCTATAGAGGAACAGAATGATCAAAACAGGAAAGAATTGAGCTGCTGGATGCTCCACAGATTGCACCTTGGGTCTGAAGGAACAACACCTCAAGACTTGTTTATCTAGGTCCAAAAAAGATGAAATAATCTTACTGTCTAGTAAATGGGTACGACTGATTTTTTTCATTTGTCTATAGGATGTTGGTTTTGCTGTCCACTTTAATTCCCATTAGTTAAGAGTCAACTGCAAACAGGTAAGGACGGTGTATTTTCTTCCTTGAAGAGCATTAACGAACCGGATGAGATTTTTAACAATCAATGACAGTTTCATCATCATCTTTGCAGCTTCAGATAAATTAACTGATTTAAATTCCACAAACTGCTGTGAGGGGATTTGAACTCTCATCCTCAGAGCATTAGTATATGGGTCTGGATTGCTAATCTTGTGATACACCATCATCTCCGCTTAAATGACTACTACGTAAAAGTGAAACAAAATCATTTTAGAATATTACTTACGGAAAACTGAAGTTATTGATTAAGGGTGAAACAATTAAATGACCTTTATATACAGAATTGCAGTTTAACTTTTATATAAAGATGTAAAGCAGGCAGACATGGATTTTAATTTAGAGCAAGAAAGTAACATATACAAGTGTCTGTTTGTGATGAGTAATTGAATATGTGTGACCAACCAAACATCATCAGATGTGGTTGTAATGTTAAGGATATGTTTGAGTAGTTTTGCAATGTTATATATTTAATAAACCAATGATTTGATTCCACTATTCAAGAGCTTTTTTGTAGATCTTACTTTAACAATACTGTACCTTCTGAAATTTGCAATTAACTTTGGTGCCAGATACCTCCTGCAGCAAACTCTTCAAAGCAATGTACAGATCTTCCTCTTTCTGCTGCTGATGTTGCCAATTACCTCATCTATAATGGAATTCCTCTTCAAGGGCATTGAGCTGAACAGAAACACAAATATCACCATCAATTTGGAGCACTGAGTCCTCCTGTAGAATTGAAATTGTGAACATTTTCAGGATGATATACCTGGCACTTTCACCTCTGCAGCCAAGTTTTGAACCCAGCTAACATGAGAAGCTCTTTTCTGTATTTTGCCTGTGAAGTCCCAAGCCAATTCCCCTAATCTGGCACTCATTGCTGATATCACACATGAAACCTGTTGGGCAACATCTATGGGAAGTGGATAAATGTTACACTGGTGCTGTAGGGTACCACAGTTTTGTGGGGAGGTTGAAGAATCATAATGACAGAATGAATGGGAACAGGAATATGACATTCAGCCCCTCAAGCTTATTCCGCAGTTCACGAGATTATGGTTAATCTGCATCTCAACTCGATTTACCTGTTTTTATGACAGATTACTAGATTGTTTGAATTAACAAAATTTCTTTGATCCCCAGCATTCCCAGACTTTAATGAGAGGCTGTCCTAGATTCCCACTATCCTTCATGAAAAGACAATTCCACTCCTCATTGCTGTCGCTGTAATTCAGTCATTAAATTTCCTTATTTTATTTGCTGCCACCACAGAAACAAACTAAATAGCTCCATGGCATTTTCGCTATCAGATTCCTTCATCACATATATACATCATTTAGATTACCCGTCCACCTACAGATTTATGCAATACCTGTATCTAATCTAAGAATGTTTATTACTGACACAGGGAAGACTAACATAGAGGGAGATCCATTCACTCCAGCATGAAATCCCATTTAAAGGGCATTAGAAATATCTACCTCATGTAAGAAAATTAGCATTACTCACTTTGTCACCCCAACGGTACTAATGCAACAGCATGTGCCTTTTTTCCAGGAATTAATGGCAGTGGAAATGCATACACTTATTATTCCATGAGACCATGTTCCTAGAGGGGAGCATTGCTCTCAGGGTTGTAATGATATCTGGTTAAAAATATAAGTTTGATTGAGAAGTAAGTATAACTAATTAGGTAGAATACACGTAGATATTAAAAACTTTTAAAGAGAAAGATTTTTGTCAGAGTTAACCACGAAAAGCTCTGTCATAGACAGCAGGAAAATTGTAATGGGGACATAGAATACAATGTTTATGCCATTAAGCAAATTAGTGCTCAGCACAGACAATAATAAAGTATAAACGATATTTAGTCACTAAAAATGAGGCTTTGAAAGACACACAGCAACACCATACTTGGTGTAAAAGTAAAATGGTAACAGGCAACTGATGAGAATACCAAAGATCCTTGTCACCTTAGAAACATGCGAGGAAGGATTCACTTAAGATGAAAAGAATAAAAAGGATAGTTGAAAGGAGTATAAACATTGACTATACAAAAATTCACAACTTCATAAATGGATCTTCACAGAATAATAAAGTAATAAGCCAGAATCAAATGAAAGTGGGAGAAAACTACGCAGAGGTTGACATTGCATTTGCAAAACAGGAGAAATCAAAATAATTTAAAAAAAAGCACAAACAGAAATTGCTGGAAAAGCTCGGCAGTTCTGGCAACATCTGTGGAGAGAGATAGATCTGGCACTCTCAGCTCTGCAGTCTGGTTTTGAACCCAGCTAGCAGAACCTCCTCAGAACTCAAACCAAAACATTAACTCTGATTTCTCTCCACAGATGCTGCCAGAACTGCTGAGCTTTTCCAGCAATTTCTGTTTTTGTTTCTGATTTACAGCATCCGCAGTTATTTCGGTTTTTATTTAATTTAAAAAAGATCTTCTCACTGAAATTTTAGAGATGTTAGAGAGCCTCAGATAACACTTCTCAAAGTGTTTTTTCCCACAGGGAGGAAATATCATCCTCACTCTGACGTTTAAGGTAAAACTTTACTTCCTGATGAATATTCTTAGCTATTATTAAATATTTTATTTTTAGTTATTATTAGATAGTCCTAGACATTTTTAGACATACTTGAATAATTAAAAATAACATCAAACTGATTTCTATTACATTTGGTATTACATCTTTTGGTAGTTTTTGACACAGCAATATATTTATACACATGAAACATACTGCTTGTTAATTTCCATTAATAACATTGTAAAATTAATAAATCATCTCATTTAAGTTTCTGTTGCAACTAAAATGACCCCTAATCCCTTAGACACTTTTTTAAGTGGGGAAGTCTATATTCTGAATCAATAAATATTGGACCCAAGTTATGAAGTTGGGTGGAGTATTCATGAAATCGAAGGTAGGAAGTTTGAATCGTTGGTAAAAAAAAATGATAGTGGGACAAAAGAGTGCCTGGTCCTTTTAAGAGATTGTCTTTTACTGTGCTTGGAAGTTTACAAGAACTATGCACAGAGAGTGCTCGAGTTGAAACACCTTGTATCGAACATCAAGCAGCATTTTTACCAAGGCAACAAGTCTTTTCAAATTTAACCAATCAATTTAAACCAAGCCCTTAGATTCTGAAAGCCAATAGAATTTAAAACTGATGGTTTTGGCAACCTGAAACCAACCATATTATAATACATTGATGTGTCATCAGGGCATTTATAAAGATGAGGGCGTTTGGAAAATCGGAGAGAGCCAACTGTCATCTGAGGAGAGAGCAAGTCTGCAATCTGAGAAATAAGCTGAGAGCTCTCACAAGAAATCGCTAGCTCTCTAAGAAAGCACCATCTTATCGATAAAGGTACCATGGCATTTTTAGCTAAGAGTCTTTACTGAGAAAGCATGCCTGACAGTAGAATCAGCAGAAGAGAGGCATTTGTGGCGTGACAGAAGGTGGAGGGTTCCAGAAGACACAGTCTGTGCGAACTTGGAGAGATTAAGTTTTAACTTATTGTTGTCTTATTATTTGGGATTATATAAGTGGGACTTGAGTTTATTTGAACAGAATTCCAGTAGAATTTTGTTCAGTTAGAGAGTAGTTAGTAGTCTAAGAGGAATTGTTTGGCTTGTTAGTAATTTTGTTAATTTGTTCATTGTTAGGGTTAAGTAAATAAATTCCTTCTTGTTATTTATAAAGTAGATCAAGGATTTTATTTCTTTTAACCACTCTTTTAACAGATCACAAGGGGAAAAGCGAGGTTCTCTGGGTGTTTCAGGGGTAATTATTAGAAGGGAACCTCTAATCACATTTTAGCGGATTGGGGCTTGTGTTTAGGTTTAATTATCAGAGGTGTTCAGCCATTCCCCTTCCGTAACATCCTTAAAATACCTGGGATGTTTATAGCACAGCTAATACTTATTAAAATTAAACAGGCTTTTTTGGAAGATGGTTACGTTCTTGGGCAGCTTCTTCACCTTTGGGAATAGTTACATTAATCTGACAAACTCAAAACTTTAAGCTTTCACTTTTGTGAAATTTTTTTTTTCCTTTATTCATTCACAAGATGTGCGCATTGCTGGCTACGCAGCATGTATTGCCCATCCCTAATTGCCCAGAGGGCAGTTAAGAGTCAACCACATTGCTGTGGGTCTGGAGTCACAGTAGGCCAGAGCATGTAAGGATGGCAGTTTCCTTCCCTAAAGGACATTAGTGAACCAGATGGGTTTTTTGTGAAAATTGGCAATGGATTCATGGTCATCATTAGACTGTTAATTCCAGATATTTATTGAATTCAAATTCCACCATCTGCCATGGCAGGATTCAAACCCAGGTACCCAGAACATTATGTGGGTCTCTAGATTAACAGTCCATCGATAATACCACTAGGCCATCACCTCCCCTGAGGTGAGCTTGAACTCAGCAGACAGAAGTTTTCAAGGAGATACCCTGATCTAAGTTCGCTCCAAATAAAACTATAATCACATCAGAGGTGTGTTGAAGATAACCATACAACAGTATAGCCTGATTCTCTGCCAACATTGAGTCTCCTAAGAAAATAGTTGCTGGAAAGCAATGCTTTTTGCCCGAAATACTTAGCCGAAATATTAACCAGGAAAATTATTATGATTAAGTGGTGTCTCAGCTTCCTATTATATTACCATTTCTACAGCTGGTTTTTGTCTTAAGGAGGTTCTGGATGACTGTGTGATAGGTACCACAATTCTTGTGTGTGGATCTATACGAGCACCAACAACTGGACCAATTTCACCTATGAGCTCGTCTATGCTTCTGGCACCAAGAGTGATTGGTATCAGTCCTGGAAAACAGAAGAAGCACAATCAGTTCTAAAATGAGAGGACAATTTTTTATCCATTTGTGGGATGTGTGCATCGCTGGATGGCCAGCATTTTTTGCCCATCCCTAGTTGCCCTTGAGAAGGTGGTGGTGCGCTGCCTTCTTGAACCGCTGCAGTCCTCCTGCTATGGGTTGACCCACAATGCTATTAGGGAGGGAATTCCAGGATTTTGACCCAGCGACTATGAAGGAATGGCGATATATTTCCAAGTCAGGATGGTAAGTGACTTGGAGGGGAACTTGGAGGTGGTGGTGTTTCCATATATCTGCTGTCCTTGTCCTTCTAGATGGAAGTGGTTGTGGGTTTGGAAGGTACTGTTTGAGGATCTTTGGTGAATTTCTACAGTGCATCTTGTAGTTAGTACACACTGCTGCTACTGAGCATCGGTGGTGGACAGAGTGAATGGCTTGTAGATATAGTGCCAATCAAATAGACTGCTTTGTACTGGATGGTGTCAAGCTTCGAGTGTTATTGAGGCTGCACTCATCCAGTTAAGTGTGGAATATTCCATCACATTCCTGACTTGTGCCTTGTAGATGATGGATAGGCTTTGAGGAGTCAGGAGGTCAGGAGTCACTGCAGAATTCATAGCCTCTGACCTGCTCTTAGTAGCCACTGTGTTTATGTGGTGAGTCCAGTTGAGTTTCTAGTCAATGATAACACCCAGGATGTTGACAGTGGGGGAATTCAGTGATGGTAACACCATTGAATGCCAAGGGGCAGTGGTTAGATTGCCTCTTATTGGTGATGGTCAAAGCCTGGCATTTCTGTGGCGCAAATGTTATTTGCCACTTGTCAGCCCAAGCCTGGATATTGTCCAGGTCTTGTTGCATTTGAACGTGGACTGCTTTAGCATCTGAGGAGTCGTGATGAAATTCTATATCTATTTTTCAACTGAACGATTTTGGTGAAGATATAAAGCCACATTGTAAAAGGCCATGTCAAGGCTGAAAAGAATTTGAAGGAAGCACAACATTACTGTGTAGTATCATAGAATCCCTACAGTGTGGAAGCAGGCCATTCAGCCCATAGAGTCCACACCAACCCTTTGAAGAGCATTCCCACCCAGACCCACCCTCTACCATAACCCCACATTTCCCACAGCTAATCCACCTAGGCTGCATATCCTTGGATTCAATGGGCAACTTAGCATAGCCAATCCACATAACCTGCACATCTTTGAATTGTGGGAGGAAACTAGAGGACCTAGAGGAAACCCACACAGACACGGGGAGAACATGCAAACTCAACTACACAATCACCTGAGGGTGGAATTGAACCCAGGTCCCTGGTGCTGTGAGGCAACAGTCTAACCACTGAACCACTGTGCCGCATAGTAGAAGTTATGGGACAGCAAGGTCTTGTTTTAAAAGTTTGCACATTGTTGGAAAGGAGTATATTATAGAGGACCATAAGGAGACCTATTATTTTGAGACTTAACATTGGATATGGTGACATGTTAGTGTAAACTCGATGGGCTGAATGGCCTCTTTCCACACTGTAGGATTTCTGTGATTCTATATCAATGTAGCAAAGAGGAAGAAGACACAGGATGGGATCATTGAAGTTTAGGAGGAAGAAGAGAATTCAGAAAGGTGCTAGATAAATATGAGTAATTGATAATGTTGGGGAACTTTGTTGCACTGGTAAATTAGAAAAATCTTCAAATTGTAGACTGAAGCTCAGAGTGTTATATGCCCATCAGATGGCAAAATTTTCTCTTGTGCAAGAGTGTAAAAGGGCACTGCAATGAAATTCTGATTATAGGATTGAAAGACAAATCAAAGCAAAGACAATTCTTGAATCACCAGTATTAAATCCAATAGCAGTCTAATGAAAGGGAATCTGAAGAGAGAATACTGGAGATACACAGCACGTTTAATTGTCATTGTCAGGAAGAAAAATTGAGGTAAAGAGTCACATGTTGCTCCATAATTACATTTCTTGCTAGAAATAGGAGCCTGGATGTCTTTTTAGATGGTTTAAGAGTTTAAACTTTTTTTTGCAGAATACTTCGACAGGACTTTTCCACAGGGTAGGGAGTCCAAAACTAGAGGGCATATGTTTTAAGGTGAGAGGGGAAAGATTTAAAAGGGACCTAAAGGGGCAGAGGGTGGTGCGTGTATGGAATGAACTGCCAGAGGAAGTGGTGGAGAATGGTACAATTACAACATTTTAAAGGCATCTGGATGGTACATGAATAGGAAGAGTTTAGAGGGATATGGACCAAATGCTGACAAGTGGCAAGGATATCTGGTTGGCATGGACCAGTTGGACTGAAGGGTCTGTTTCAGTGCTGTACAGCTCTATGATGCTATGGCTCTATTGTTTCTTCTTAAACTGTTATTGCTTAAATGAACAGGTTAAGGGTACATCATTGGAGTTTAGAAGAATAAGAGATGATCTTATGGAAACAAACAGGAGGTTGAAGTGACTCGATTGGGTTGATACCCAGAGGATGTTTCCTCTTGAGGGGGAGACTAAAACTAGGGGAAATGGTTTAAGATTAAGACGTTGCATTTTTTAAATAGAGAAGAAGAGTGTTTTTTTTCTCTCAAACGGTTGTCAGATAGTTGAGATCAATGCTGTCTGCTTCTCAATCCTGCCACTAAAGGGAACAGTTTCTCCCTAACTACTGCCATAGGTCTGCCTCATAGGTGGAAACACCTCCACCAATTTTTTTCTCAACCTTCTTGATGGGAGAGCAGCATAGCTTCCTTAATCTATGCTGTGACTTAAGGCATGTGATTAATATATATATTAATACCATATATTTTAGAATTTGGATTTTTAACTAGTGGCATGTGTGTTTGGTTTGTATCTATGACGTGGTTTAATGATGAACTTGTAAGGCTTTTTGAGCCAAGCTTTGTTAAAATAAATAGTATGAGAGGTATAATTCTTGGAGCCTAATGGGAATTTGTTTACATTGGTTGAGTTTTCATGAGCAAACAAAGTAACAGTGTAGTTCATTAGGCTTCAGATAGAAGGATCTAGAATGGTGTTTTTACTTGGCTTGGCAGGAACATTCATAGCTTGCAGCAAACTCTTGTTTGCAGAAGTCCTGGTTAAAGGTTTATGTGCAAAAAAGTTCCTCTTGAAGAATGGAGATAGTTTAGAACTATTAAGAAATAAGTTACCTCAGCCTAAGGAGTTCAGTTTGAAAGTTCCATACTAATATTCTTTGGATATAACAATGAGGGTTCATTTGAAGCTAAGAAAGTCTGATTTCAGTTATATAACAACTCAAGGAAGAGACAGTAGGAACTGCAGATGCTGGAGAATCCAAGACAACAAGGTGCAGAGCTGGATGAACACAGTAGGCTAAGCAGCATCATAGGAGCAGGAAGGCTGACGTTTTGGATCTAGACCCTTCTAGGCCCGAAACATCAGCCTTTCTGCTCCTATGATGCTGCTTAGCCTGCTGTGTTCATCCAGCTCTGCACCTTTTTGCCAAGGAAGATTTTCCAGACTGGGAATTGAAGCATCAGATAAGGTAAATAGATATGAGTATTACAGAGGGGTGCTGTTGGAATTAATGGGATTGCAGTTACCATATATTCTGAATTTCTAAACTTGTGTTATGTGTAAATAATTATGTTTATTCTATTTTATCTTAATTTATTCTGTGTAAGTAATAAAACTCTGCTTTATTTTGTAACTTAATGAGCAGCATTGTGAGCTGTGTTTCAGTGAAAGACAACCTCGTTAAAACCAAAGAAAAATAAAACACGATCTATCAAGCCTGATTTTGGTCAAGGATCAGTTTAGTAACAACAGTATCACAACAATCCACGAAAATGCAGGTTTGTAAAGACAAGATTCAAGGCAATAGATGAACCAAATAAACAGTACCATTGCCATTTTGATCCTCCATGGTCCCAGCAACAGGAATAAGCTGACCAGTTGCCCTGTCAATTTCCACCCCTAAAATAGGCACTTCCAGGTCAGAACCTCCAGGATCAGGTATCTGCATCCCAATGACAGCAGGTATCAGCAGGCCAGTGCTAGCAAATGAGATCATCCCTATAGGAAAAACAAAATCAACATAAGAAAATAAATGTTGAAGCTCTGAAAAGAGTCAAAACATAAATTCTGTTTCTCCACAGATGCTGCCAGACCTGCTAAGTGTCTCCAGCGCTTTTTGTTTTTATTTAACATGAACTTTGTTCCTTCTCAACTAATTTTGTTCTCTATATACTGTTTTGTCAGCTTCCCTGTGCCCTATCTCTTGAAAAGAATGAAAAGACAGGAATAAAAGTACGGAAATGGGAAAACTATGTTCAGTGTAATTGGGGGCTTTGATGCCAACACTTGTTGCTAAATGAAGTTGGCTCTATTTCATTAGCTGAGGAATAAATGGACCTGTGTTATTTTAAATGGATGAACCAGAGATGGCATTCCTGCTTGAGCAAGGAGCTTTGGGTTTGAGTCCCACTCGAGGATTTGATGGCTGAAGATTAAAGCGTATTCCTAATGTGGCCAAAAAATTTTGAGTGTCAACTTGTGCATCCTTCCAACATACAACAATAGCAGGTAGTTGGAATGGGAGAAATTCCTAATCAGCCACATGATGGAATGAAATTGGAGCCTCTGCCATCTCCATCCATAGCTCCAGGCAACAAAGTGTTTGTAAAAGTGTGCATTACTAGAGCAACAAGGGCTCCCCGAGTGAAGTGTAGGCCACTGCCACCAGATGGATGCTCTAAGTAATTAAATGGAGAATAGGACTATATTCAGTGGATTGCCATCCATCATTTATAGTCATAGAGCTGTACAGCATGAAAGCAGACCCTTCGGTCCAACACATCCATGCCGACCAAATATCTTAAATTAATCTAGTCCCATTTGCCAGCATTTGGCCCATATCCCTCTAAATCCTACCTATTCATATACCCATTCAGATGCCTTTTAAATGTTGTAATTGTACCAACCTCCACCACTTCCTCTGGCAGCTCATTCCATACACACACCAATGTCTGCATGAAAATGGTACCCCTTAGGGTACCCCTTTTAAATCTTTCCCTTATCTCCTTAAACCTACGGCCTCTAGTTTTGGACTCACCCACTCCGGGGAAAAGACCTTGACTATTCACCCTATCTATGCCCCTCATGATTTTATAAACCATTATATAGTCAACCCCTCAGCCTCTGACGCTCCAGGGAAAATATCCCCAGCCTATTCAGCTGCTCCCTATAGCTCAAACCCTCTAAACCTGGCAACATCCTTGTAAATCTTTGCTGAGCCCTTTCAAGTTTCCAGCATTCTTTCTACAGCAGGGAGACCAGAATTGCACACAGTATTCCAAAAGTGGCTGAACCAACAATCTGTACAGTTGCAACATGATCTCCCAACTCCTTTACTCAATGCACTGACCAATAAAGGCAAGCGTACCAAACACCTTCTTCACTATTCTGTCTACCTGGGACTTCGCTTTCAAGGAAGTATGAACCTGGTCTCTAAGGTCTTTACTTGCAAAAAAGATGATCAGCAGCTTATTTGGAGACTCACACACATACATCCATGCGCGCGCACACACACACACACACACACAATGCATGGATGACCCCAAATAAAATTTTCAGGATGGATGAAAAGACTTCAGCAACGGTCCTTCCTTCTCCTGCTCACTCCTACCACCCCACTCTCCCAAGCTGCCAGCTCGTTCAGTAGGGTATTTCAGCGGATTCCCATCCTCCCACACACAATAGCAATGGACCACTTCTTCAACAGCAATGATTTGCCAGCAAATAAGGCCCAACTCTGAAAATGATATTTGTGTATGTTCTTGGTACATGGGCATCACCAGCAAGGCCAGTTTTTATTGCCAATACCTAAATCACCTTATGATGGTGGTGGTCAGCAGTCATATAATGTTGGCACAGAGAAATTTGTGATAGAACTTTAGGATGTTAACTGATTTTATGTGACTCCTGATGCTGACTTCAGGGAAGTGGACTGAAAGTTCAATTGTCTTCCCACTCATTGTGAGTAGAAGTAAGTCTTCTAAATGTTTCAGTAGGCCATCAGAGGCTGTCTGAAAATCTCCTACAAAACCATTTCCAGATTCAGTTTGATGCATCTGTAAGCTTACCTATGCTTCCACCACTGTTTGCAAACTGCCTGGCTTCTTTTCTCTGTCTCTGCAAGTTGTACGCAGTGTGAATGATGTGTGCCCAGCTTCTGGCCCGTGCCTTCACTAAATCATCCACTGCACCCATTAGCAAGCTCAGCTGCTTCTGAGGACAGGAAGGCATTGCTGACTTCTGCATTGCCATATTTTCTTTCAACACTTCCAGCATTTGGATCTCACAGGCCAGAGTGACAGCATCTAGCAGGGCCTGATAACCGCCTGCACATGGCAACACCCGATTCCCTTGAATATAAGCACCCGAAATCCGAGTAGACTTTCAACTGAGAGGCTCCAAGAAACTGTCCCCAATTATCAGGGGAGTGTTTGAAGATTCTGTAACACCTCCGAGAGGCACAACCATACCTAAAAGAAAATTACTCTATTAAAGAGACATAACTTCTTTTCCAAAATAATTTATACTTATATAGCACCTTTAATGTTATCAAACAACCTAAAGCACTTCACAGGAGCATCATAAAATATAACTATCACACCCAGCCATGTAAAGAAGATATTAGGTCAGTTGACAAGGAAGGAGATTCTGTTAAGGAGAATCTTAAAGGAAGACAGTGATGTGGAGAAGTGTAGAGAGGGAATGCTAGAGTTTAGGGCCTTGGCAGCTGAAGGCACCACTATCATTGGCTAGAGGACTTAAAATCAGAGAAGCTCAACAGTCCAGAGAATTAGTTGATTGCAGATATCTCAGAAGGGCAATGACACTGGAGGAGATCATAATGATAAGGGAGGGTGAGGCCATAGTAGGTTTTAGATTCTAACCAGCCTGCTCAGAGATGCAATGACACATCTGGAGCAGTGGGACGTGAACCTGGGCTTCCTGACTCAGAGGTAGGAACACTACCACTGCAGAAGACCCGCGTGATGGGCTTTCTAGTATAGAGGATGAAAGCTATAAGCTAATACCTTGACTGCCTCATTAGTGATGTCAGGTGGCATTTGCTCACGTGGAATTGGAAGCTTATGGAGAAGGTTCCAGTGAATCTTACACCTGCTGAATAATGGCATTGTTTAATAGTTAAAGTCCTTGGTTTTCACTGGTTTGGTGTCTAGTAGCTTCCAGAACCTGCTCACAATATTTCAACTAAATTAGAAAGCAGTGCTAAGAATTTTTAAAATCAAAACGTTGTTTGGCCAGGAATAAGTAGGTCAGCAAGCACAAGGCCTAATAGGAGAATGCGACTCAATGATAGTTAAGACATAGACAGCAGAGTTTTGGATGACTGCTAGTTTATGGAACATAGAATGTTGGAAAGGAGACAGGAGTGTATTGGATAGTCAAGTCCAGAGTGAATGAAGGCATGATTGAGGGTTTCAGCAGTAGATAAGCAGAAACAGAAAGCAAAAACTGTCTTTGTTCCATTAACCCTTGAAAAGTAAAATGTTTATGACATGATAATGCACCTAGATATTGTTGCTTACAGGAACCTAGAAAGAAAAATATATCAACTTGGAACATTTGAAAGGCATAGGGAAATAAATGAATACCCTTTGAAAGTATTGAAAAAATTGAATCTTGTGTATAATCCTTCCCACCTCAATTATCTGTCTCTTTTGCTAAGGTGGGATTCAGATCTTGTGCCAACTTGTACTTTGGTTCATTATCCCACTATCATAGTTCATCTGTGAGCCTATATGACAATGGAAGGCAGTACACTTGACTTAATGCCTTGACATTGTATAAATATCAGGTTGGCTCAAGGGAAACTCTCATTTTTGGGCCAGGAGGTCACTGGTTCAAACAACGTCACAAGAATTGCCTAAATGGGCCAACTTGACAATTTAATACAACAGTGAGGGAGTGCTGCACTGTCAAAGGTATTGACTTTTACATTATTTTCTTGACCCTATGATGCTTTTGAGGAAGAGCAGGAAGTTCATTCCTTGCCAAGCTACCCAATATTTATCTGTGAGCCACTATTACAAGAACAGGCAAACTACTCACTTGTCACATTGCTATTTGTGAGACTTTGTCCATAAATTGTTTGCCTCATTTCCTGACATAACAACGCAGTGGCTAATTTTCAAAGTAAATAATTGATGATGAAGCACTTTTAGACCTTTCACAGTCTGTGAATAGTGCGCTATATAAATGCAGCTTCCATTTCTTTCACATGCAGGCATTTTAAAAAAAAGGATCATGCAGGATATATTTTGCAACCTTTACAGAAGTAATGACACTGTATGGGATTTCTAACATGTCAAGGATTGCCGAGCACAGCACTGAGGCAGTGGAGGGCTTGAGGGAGCTGGCAACGAGTTAAAGTTTGGTGGCTTGCGTTGTGAAAACAGATCTTGTATTTGCGAGATAATGGGAACTGCTGATGCTGGAGAATCTGAGGTAGCAAGGTGTAGAGCTGGATGAACACAGCAGGCCAAGCAGCATCAGAGGAGCAGGAAAGCTGACGTTTCGGGTCTGGACCCTTCTTCAGAAAACCTTCAAGCATCATTCAATATCGAGATTGCTCTGAAAGAATGTTCAAACCATGCAAGATTGGTGCAAACTGAGAGAAGATTAATAGAGCTATTGATTGGAGACAAAGCTAAGACAAAAAGGCTAGCTCTACTGCATAGGCAGCTGATCTCCCAGGTTACCAAGGCCATTGAAAAGGTGCTCTAGAGGCAAAGTTCATAATGAAAAAGGCATTGGAGACAATGATGGAAGTTACAGTTGCCAACTACTTCTGTCACTCTCTGTTCAAATAGGCTACAACTGCACAAACTCCAAGAACATGGAAATGCAGGATCACACCAACCAACTGAATGACAAAATTCTTTTTGCTCATCTGGAAAAGGACAGCATGGAAACTCCAGAAGAAACCACCATGGAAAGTGTCATACTGCTCAAATGAACCAATACACAAGACAATCATGAATGCAGTATCTGCTTCAACTGAGGAGGCTGGTGACCCTGAAGAGTCCAATGAATGCCAGCCTACTGACCAGCCTGTTTCTCTAGGTGAAGTGACAAAGTCTCCAGG